AGTTCAGGTTTAATGTCAGGAGTGTCTTTAAATGTACTTTTCAACATATCCCTGCAAAATAAGAACCCTTTAGAAAGGGTAAGGCTAATTTAGTGTAGCATACGGGGTGTGTAATGGCTCCTGCATCAGTGGGAGCTGCTGTCATGTACCAGATGAGGTTTCTAAAAAGTCTCACCTGTCAGTCAAGTGGAAATGACATGAAGGTTTTGCAGACCAAACAAGACTGTCAACTGAAAGCATGAGAGTGACTGATTAAAACTGTTAGATAATAGCTAGTATAAACAGCTGCTCTGAAGGGATTTACATTAGAAATCAAACAGACCCCTGCTGAGAGCTTTTCGTCCATTCATTTGGTTGCTCTTGTAATCCTGGATATCATCCCCAGTCACACTAATAAGAGCTAATCACACTTTGCACATACCCTTGTGTCCCACCACAGTGGTGTACCTACCACTTGTCATCCCTAGAGCTGTGTCGCTAGCATGGCTAAAGCATTTAAACTGAACCACAGTTTTACAACAACCAGAATCTCACATGATATTCAGTCTCATTACAACAAGTTAATTTATTACCAGGCTTGACTTGAAATGCCAGTGCTGAATAGACAACTGTAGAGGTGTACCTAATAAAGTGGCTGGTGAGTGTATATGAACATTGTACCAGTAGTGGCATCCTTTGTTTCCAGCACAGTGCACCTACCCATTGATCATGCTGAGAAGACCCTCCACCAGGTGTGCCAGGTAGGAGACCTGGGCGCTCTCATCAGGAAAGATGGGCCCATGCATGGAGGCCAGCTGGGCCAAGCACTGCAAGGAGTCCTGGGCCATATCCGAGTCCTCCCGGATCTTCCTGTGTACCTGCAGATGAGAAGAATTTACATTTCTCTCTCAGGCCTGTCTTCTTTTGTTTTATGTTTACAAGGTATGAAAAAGAAATCTCATTGAATAAAGGGTGGAAAGGGTGTGACCCTGAACTCTGTTTATTAGGGATTTTTACTACAATCAATGCATATATAATGAACATTCAAAAAACTTTAATAGAATCACCCTTATGCATAGCTAGAACATGTGTGTGCACATGGCATGGAAGTCAGACTCCTATCGCCCCACAGGAAGATGCTTCCTGGAAATGAACAGCTGCACTCCATTAGAAAAGATGACATATAGTCTCCAGATTTGACAGCCTTACTTAGACTATATCCACATATCAATGTTGGTTTTAAATCCAGTGTAAGAATACAACCAGCAGTATATTGTCTACACTCTTTATATTTTTTTCTTGATCATTATTATTTGTTCTTTGGAGCTCTTTCTCCGTCGTGTGTGGGAGGGATGGGATATGTTTATCATGGTATTTATGTGGCTATGGATGTTGCTAAATGTAAAATCTAAAATAAAACAGGTAAAAGGTAGAAATTGTGGGTCCTCAAACCCACAATAAACCAGAAGGCGCTTTGGATATCTGCATATTGTGAAAAATAAGTACCCTGACAAAAAAAGACTAAAAATATGTGGAAACACTCCTGCACATCGTCACTTATAAGATTTACTGAAAAGGCACAGATCATTTCAGTCTTGTCTTCTTGCCCACCGGCAACAAGAGAGAAGAAATGAGGATTGGGGGGGATTTAATAGAGAGGGAAAGTCTACACTGAGTGAACAGCACAGCGGTGTGAGTCAGTGTCTTCAATACTCCTTTTCACAACTACGAGGCACGTAGCTCACACTCACCCACAGAGACATAAGACAACAGTAGAAGCTTAAATCCCAGAAATACAAAAACACCCAGCTGTAAAAATGCTTCAATAGCAAGAAAATAAATTATAGGGCAGTGCTGAAACATAGAAATTGTTTACAGACAAATAAGCACCAGTGTGAATCAAAGTGCCTTTTTTTAAAATGGTGAACGGTTGAATTGCTCATGGTGACTTGATCTCAACTCATATTGTAAAATGAATTTATGGATGTGTGAAATATCAATTTTGAATTAAAATTCTCTTTTAGGGATATAATTTCTGTGATCTCTTCTTAAACTCAATTAAACATTTCATTTAAAATTGTGAATGTGTATGTAAATTACTTAATGTGAATTTGTAAATTCTGTCTAAACTTTGGAAAACCTAACTTGTAGAAACTTGCTTAAAAATCTGTTGTAGTTTCAATGAAATAAACCAAAATTCAAAATGACTGTGTGATTATGATCATCAGTTCAGGTCATTAAAAGCTTTTACTTTGCTACAACATGCGCACACACACTTAGGAGTGGCAAATAAACAAACTGTGGTTTAAATACCCAAATTTCTTCTATTTATAATAATAATAATAAAAAAAATGCAGACATTAACAGCCTTCATCAGACTCTTCATCATCTCTGTCTTGACACACCTTAGGGATCTACCACAGTTACCAATGGTGATATTTTCCTTATAAGTGACCAAACAGCACTCCTGCAATAACCGCTAAAATACAACTGCAGTCCTCACCCACGTAAAATCATGTTGTAGGGTTAGGGACAACAAGGGCTGTAATAACTGATGAAGACATTATGTGTCTTCATCAGTTTGTCATCACTTCCAATAATTCCTACCAATGCAGCTAATCAATTAACATAACCTGAACACAAGTAAATAGCAAAACAACTGATGGACAGATTAATCAATTAAATAATTTAAGTTAAATTTGACACTTGCCTATTGTAAGGCAGTGAAATTGGCAGCTGTGTTGGCTACTGATAGCAATAGTTTTTACTGGCCTGATTGTGAGGACAAACTCCACACACATACAAAAAAAAGACTAAACAGCCTGGTGTAACACAATCACCATGCACCAGTCTCACTTGTAGAAGTACAATGCCCCCTGACAGCAGGTAGGGGAGTAAACAAAAAAAAAAAAAAAAAACCTTTGTTAATGGAAGGGTTTAATTTGAGAGAAATAAAGTGAAGCCTTCAAGACTTTCAAATACCTGCAGACACACTGAGATGAGCAAGGATTTGTCTCCCAGCTGCTCTTATTAAGAAAGGAGGAAGGCTGATTCAGGTCACATCCCCTAAATGTGTAAAACAGAAATTTAATCTACAAATGTTGATTTTGCCCTGATGGCCTGGTGATAATTGAATGCTTTTTAATCACAAAATGTAATTCTGCTGCCAAGATGATCACTCCGAAACAGAACGTCGTAGGCCAAGAACGGAGGTGAATCTGCTCATCCTCCTGTCACTACATTCAAAAACACACCTCCTGATGGCAGGATTAATACTCACTGGTGTAACCCACTACCCAGAAAGCCGAGCCGTAGCGAAATGGTGATTTGCCTGTCTTCAGACACTGTGTCCCCGCTCTCGAACAAATAATCACTGAGCTGGTCTGAGCCCACACAACGCCTCAGTCAGACTCGGAGAGGAAAGACCCAGCTCCTGTTGGAAAAGATCTGCTCGATTCGGTCTCATCTCAGTTCTGAGCTGCAGTTCACATGTGGGATCTGGGGGTTTGTTTGCGCTGAACTGTCACACTCTGACAAGGGAAGAGGCATTGTAGGTTTCAATTGTGCACACAGATGGATAAACACAAACTAAAGCAGAAATGCCCGTGCGATTCATCCCAGCCTCTCAGCAACATGTGTTTCCACTGACGATACAATGCAGATGTCTGAAGATCAGCTGCCGTCCTCTTGTGAGTTGAGGCTCTCTTCTCAGCCAGTCCGAGCTCTTTCTTCTCCTCCTGTCTCTTGAACTGTCATCCTCTTAAATCCAGAGCGAGCGCCTTCTTCACCGGCTCCACACACCGTGCCACCACACAGACCCATCGCAAAAGCAAACTTTCAACCTCCCTCTCCTTGTCGCTTCCTCCTACTCCTCCTTTCAAATCCTTTTCCCTTCTCACTCACTCCCTCAAAATTCCTTCTCGCAGCCCCTCCCCACTCCTCCTCCCCTCTCTTCTCCCTCTGTTCCCCAGCTGGAGTGCCTGGTTGGTTGTAAGGCACGCTGCTGGGAGGAGATCTCAGATGCTAACGTAGTGTAACCTCCATAGGCTTCACTGCTGCTGCTTCCCTCTTCCAGAGTGTGAAGTCATCCCCTGGAAGAGCTCAGTGAGAAGATGGGGGAGGGGGTGGGGGCATGGGTGAGTGAGCGAGCGAGCGAGCGAGAGAAAGGGGGGGGGGCACTGCAAGGCCAAAGGACTGAACAATGTGCGCTCTGAAAAAGCAGCTGCACTAGTGAATGATCCATGCGATGTCAGTAATGTCAGTTGCCTTGAGTCGTGACTATAGTTAGAGACACACAACCAGTGCACTTTTGTGTATGTACCACTAAGTGAGGAGTGGGGAGATGGAAGGAGAGGGTACAAGACACAACAACAACATGAGACATTGACATTTTGGGAATGCAGCTCAGATGACGGCAGATTTTGCAGACTGATTCATCAATGGGTTTGGTATCAGCGCAGCATCAGTTCAGTTCTTTACGCCACTGCCATCAGTGATAGTTTGATGCTTATTGTTTTATACCAGTGACGCGCAAGTCGACCGAGAGTGGGGAAATAAAACTGAATAGGGCTTTGGGCCTGTTGAATTTGTTTTATGCTAGTGCTTAACTGAATTTCAGTACCAAACAAGGCTTTTGTAGGCACATTATTCTCTGAGGAATACAAACATATTTCTGTATTAAAAAAAAACAACCTTTTTCTCCACTTACTAAAAACAGCAAAAGTTAAAATGTTTAGACACAAATAGCTGCATTAGATCATATCCTAAATGAATATTTCTATTATTGACAAAATTGTGATTCATTCAGAAACCCTCAAAGAACAAAGAGCTAGTAAAAGACAAATGTGAATGAGCAGTGTAATGATTCTGTTTTTAATTTATGGTTAGCCTGCCCATTATTATGCTTCCATGCCAGTCATAAGCACAGCCAGAGAGGCATCATGATTTTGGGAACACCTGGGAATTTCTTCAAATTTGGCACAAATGGCCACTTGGACTCAATGATGAACCCATCAGATTTTGGCAGTCAAAGGTAAAGGTCAATATCCTTACTTCTATCCTATACCAATGAATTTCTGGTTGACGGACAAATAACATCATCTTATTCTTTGAGTTCGGTGACTTGTTAGTTATTTTAAATGTTGAAAGTCCAAATACTCTACACATTTGGTAAGGGATTTGAAATTATATGATTCTGAAAAAAAAAAAAAATACTGATTTTGATTCAGTAAAAAAATCTATTGAACCCCAAATTTACTGCAGACACATTCTAGTCATTACTATACAGTGCCTATCAGAAGTATTCACCCCCTTGGATGTTTTACCCTTTTATTGATTTTATAAATCAATCTTGGTCAATATAATTTGACTTTTTTGACCAAAAAAAAAAGACAAAAAACCTTTTTAATGTCAAAGTGAAAACAGGTTTCTACAAAGTAAAGTCAATTAAATAAAAATATGTAATGTGAAAGAAGCGACTGCATAAATATCCACCCCCTTCAAGTCAGTCTTTAGTAGATGCACCTTTGGCTGCAACAGCAGCACTGAGTCTGTGTGAATAGGTCTCAATCACGTTTGCATCTGGATGCTACAATTTTACTTCATTCTTCTTTGCAAAACTGCTCAAGCTCTGCCAGGTTGCACAGGGATCAGGCGTGAACAGCCCTTTTCAAGTCCAGCCACAAATTCTCTCTTGGGTTGAGGTCTGGGCTTTGACTCGCTCCAGAACACTCACCTTGTTGTCTTGAAACCATTTCTGTGTAGCTTTTGCTGTATGCTTCGGGTCATTGTCTTGCTGGAAAATAGATCTTCTTCCAAGCCGTAGTTCTCTTGCAGACTGAATAAGATTGTCCTCCAGGATTTTCCTATATTGGGCCAG